AGTGAGGGCCACGCGCGGATTCAAATTAGACCTCGCCATCCCTGGGGGGCTGCGATCTGTGAAACTGTCGCCACTTTCGAGGCCTGCTGGGGGGCCCAGCACAGTGAGGGCACGCGCGGATTCAAATTAGACCTCGCCATCCCTGGGGGGCTGCGATCTGTGAAACTGTCGCCACTTTCGAGGCCTGCTGGGGGGCCCAGCACAGTGAGGCACGCGCGGATTCAAATTAGACCTCGCCATCCCGGGGGGGCTGCGATCTGTGAAACTGTCGCCATGTTCGAGGCCTGCTGGGGGGCCCAGCACAGTGAGGGCGACGGGCGGACCCAAATTAGACCTCGCCATCCCTGGGGGGCTGCGATCTGTGAAACTGTCGCCACTTTCGAGGCCTGCTGGGGCCCAGCACAGTGAGGGCGACGGGCGGACCCAAATTAGACCTCGCCATCCCTGGGGGGCTGCGATCTGTGAAACTGTCGCCGCTTTCGAGGCCTGCTGGGGGGCCCAGCACAGTGACGCCACGGGCGGATTCAAATTAGATCTCGCCATCCCTGGGGGGCTGCGATTCACGAGGCCTGCTGGGGGGCCCAGCAAAGTGAGGGCGGCGCGCAGATTCAAATTAGACCTCGCCATTCCTGGGGGGGTTGCGATCTGTGAAACTGCCGCCATTTTCGAGGCCTGCTGGGGGGCCCAGCACAGTGAGGGCGACGCGCAGATTCAAATTAGACCTCGCCATCCCTGGGGGGCTGCGATCTGTGAAACTGTCGCCACTTTCGAGGCCTGCTGGGGGGCCCAGCACAGTGAGGGCGACGCGCAGATTCAAATTAGACCTCGCCATCCCTGGGGGGCTGCGATCTGTGAAACTGTCGCCACTTTCGAGGCCTGCTGGGGGGCCCAGCACAGTGACGCCACGGGCAGATTCAAATTAGACCTCGCCATCCCTGGGGGGCTGCGATCTGTGAAACTGTCGCCACTTTCGAGGCCTGCTGGGGGGCCCAGCACAGTGACGCCACGGGCGGACCCAAATTAGACCTCGCCATCCCTGGGGGGCTGCGATCTGTGAAACTGTCGCCACTTTCGAGGCCTGCTGGGGGGCCCAGCACAGTGACGCCACGGGCGGATTCAAATTAGACCTCGCCATCCCTGGGGGGCTGCGATCTGTGAAACTGTCGCCACTTTCGAGGCCTGCTGGGGGGCCCAGCACAGTGAGGGACCTCCACGATCTGTGGCTTTCGAGCAGTCGGCCAAATTAGACCTCGCCACCCCTGGGGGGCTGCGATCTGTGAAACTGTCGCCACTTTCGAGGCCTGCTGGGGGGCCCAACAGTGACGGGCGGATCGGATTCAAATTAGACCTCGCCATCCCTGGGGGGCTGCGATCTGTGAAACTGTCGCCACTTTCGAGGCCTGCTGGGGGGCCCAGCACAGTGACGCCACGGGCGGACCCAAATTAGACCTCGCCATCCCTGGGGGGCTGCGATCTGTGAAACTGTCGCCACTTTCGAGGCCTGCTGGGGGGCCCAGCACAGTGACGCCACGGGCGGACCCAAATTAGACCTCGCCATCCCTGGGGGGCTGCGATCTGTGAAACTGTCGCCACTTTCGAGGCCTGCTGGGGGGCCCAGCACAGTGACGCCACGGGCGGACCCAAATTAGACCTCGCCATCCCTGGGGGGCTGCGATCTGAGATCGCCGCTTTCGAAGTGGCTAGGGTTGCTCAAGGGTTGTAACTAATCAGCTTTGGTTAGTCCTTGTCCTGTAGCCAGTGTCCTGCGAGTCTCCTGAATTCTGTCTGCAGACATATGTAACCCTCGCTCCGTCATCGCCCCCCTTTATAAAGTGTCCTAAACTATTTGCGCCCCGCGTTTGCGCAGGGGTTGGGTACGTCGCCAGGGTAATTTTACAAGGGATGGTGGGGGGGGGTCGGCATGGACCCTGGTTGGCCCCCAGTCGCCTGGGGGAGGGGGTGTTTATTATTAATAGGGAGCAGTGATCAAGACCCCTCTCCCCGCCCGCAAGCTGTCTCGTTCACTCCACCCCGCCCTCCCAACACACACGTAGCACCCGAGTCTGGCCCGAGCCTCAGCATATGCAGCAGTCGTCTTTGGATGGGCAGCTACTGGGCCGCCGCCGCCGCCTCCGCCGCCGCCTCCGCCGCCGCCGCCCGCCGCCGCCGCCGCCCGCCGCCGCCGCCGCCGCCGCCGCCGCCGCCGCCGCCCGCCGCCGCCGCCGCCGCCGCCGCCGCCGCCCCCCGCTGCCAAACCACCGCCGCCGCCGCAGCCGCCCCGCCACCGCCGCCGTCGCCGCCGCCGCCGCCGCCCCCGCCGCCGCCGCCGCCGCTGCCACCGCAGCCGCCGCAGCCGCCGCCACCGCCGCCGCAGCCGCCGCAGCCGCCGCCGCCGCCAAGTGTACTCTGTATTGTTTTTTGACTGGGATGGTTGGGGGGCCGCATCGGGTTGGCTGCGCATGTTCCGAATTTGGAGGCAGAGTGTGTTTTGTATTTTTTAACAAGGGATGGTGGGGGGGTGTCGTCATGGTCCCTGGTTGGCCCCCAGTCGCCTGGGGGAGGGGGTGTTTATTGATAGGGAACAGTGATAACCCTTCCCCGAAGGGGAAGAAGGAGAGGTGGAAGAGGAAATTCTCGAAACCACCGACGCCCAGAGGGCTGGTGGGATTCAGGGCGTCCCTTGAGGGTGCTTGGGGACCTTTTCCCCCTCGGCACCTCGGCCCGAGCGTCGGGCCCAGGTCGCGATGAGAAGTTCCGGCATGCAGGCAGCGCTCGGAGACAGGAGGCTCGGTCAGAGCCTTGCGAAGGCCCATCCATCCCAAGAGATTGGGGGTGATAGTAGAGTTCGACGGCGTTGGCCACCTGCGAGGCGGCCCGAGGCTGCGGGCGTCAAACAAATTAAGAGGTGCTCACTGGGGGTCCTCTCGGGGCCTTCGCGGAGGCACCAGGGAAGCGCGACAGCGCGCCGATCGGGGCCCGCGGGGGCCGCCCTTGGCGCAGTGATTATGTCGAGCTCTTCCGGAGAAGCTCGGCCGAACCATGTGGTCGGAGGCGGGCGGGCAGGTCGCGGCGCCGCCTCGGGTTCCTCTCGGGCCGCTTCGATGATTTCGCGGGTCCTCCGAGGCGGCTTGCAGCCAGGGAATATGTGGGGCTACATGAAGTGGTCGCCTCTGGGAATCATTTGGTATTGGGCGCACTCAGGCCTCGCTGAAGTCCGCCCAGGACATCTCTTGAGGACCCACTGGGACCCTGGAGCACACTGGACACGCGCTGTGGCCCCAGGCGGGTCGCCCCGCCGACTCGGGCCGGCAGCCGGGCAGCCGCCGCCCCCGGCAATCTCGGGCCGAGCTGAAGGCGGCGTGGCGACCGAAGAGAGCGAGAGAGATCACGTCCAGGAAAGGCGTCTCTGTCGGCGCGCTTGCGAGGGAGGGGGGCGGTCACCAAAGCGGCGCCCGGTGACGTGCCCAACCCGTCTGAATTAGACGACAGGGGGCCTGGTCCAGAATCCAGAAAAGAATGGCCGATGACAACGCGCCCCAGGATCGCAGAGGAAATGGGCACATGGAACGGCGGGCAGGCAAAGGGCGAAAGAGGGGCGGAAACGTTGACGCGGCAGCGGCAGTGAGACGGTGGAAGGAGGAAGAGGACGATAACGAAAAAGGCAGGATGAGGTAGGAGGTTGGCGATCATCTCCTATTGTCGGGTCGGGCGAAAGGGGGGGTTTGGGAAAGGGGGGGTTACGAAATTTGCTGCATGCAGCTGGTTTCGGCCTCACCGAGGGGCCCATTCCTCGATACATGGCCGCCTCCGGCGCCGGGAGGCGCCGGGAAAATCAGCTACGTGAGCTGATTCTCAAACCCCCCTTTGCTATCCCCCCCTTTCGCCCGACCCGATATTGGAGCGCTGAACAAGCAACGCGGCCCGCGCCATGGCAGATGCAAGAAACGAACGAGGCCGAACTCGCCCGCCAGGTTCTCCATCTCCTTTCTTCAACTTTCAGGAGGGGAAAAAACACAGACACAATTACTCGTCGATTCCCAGGAAAATATAGGAACATATGGGGAGTGGGGGGGAAAACAAATCCCAGAAAATATAGGAAAATATGGGGAATATTTTTATTTGTGTGTATTTATTTGTGTGTCCTGGGGCCCCTTCAAACTTGGAGAGACGGAGCTAAACGCCCGCAGGCGCGCCGCCAGGTTTTTTGGGCGGCCCGCGGGAAAGGAAGCCAAGGCCAATCGGATTCCGCGCAGGATGTCGCTACGCTGGACCCCCAGCAGCCCCAGAGCGTGGCCGCAGATTCGCCACTCGCAGCCACTCGGGGCAGGGATGGCGAGGTCAAGCTGGAGTCTGCGTCGCGCGTCACGCCGCTCAGCTGGACCCCCAGCAGCCCTCGAAAGCGGCGGCAGTTTCGCAGTTCGCAGCCCCCCCCAGGGATGGCGAAGTCTGATCCGAGTCTGCGTGGCGCGTCGCCCCGCTGGACCCCCCAGCGGCCTTCGAAAGTGGCGACCCCTTCGCAGTTCGCAGCCCCCCAGGGGTGGCGGGGTCGAATCTGAATTCTTTACGCGGGGGCGCCCTCTCCAGGCCCAGGGGGAGGGGGTAGGGGGAGGGGTAAACCCCTCCCCGAAGGGGAAGAAGGGGGGTTGAGGACAGAGCGGGCTCTCTAAACCACTCACGCCCAAAGGGCTGGTGGGATTTGCGTCGCGCGTCATTCCGTCGTACTTCCTGGCAACCGTCGAAAGTGCCGACAGCAGGCAGGACGGGAGAAGCAGGCTGGCAGGCAGAACGGGAGAGAGTGTGAGAGGCAGGAGGGAAGAAAAAAGGAATGTGCGACCGCAGTGCTTTCTTCAAAACGAGAACCCCGCGCAGGAAAGTTGGGAACGACAGAGCCGCGACCAGGCAAGCACGAATTACCATCGCTATAACATCCCACGCCGTGCAGCCACGGTGGCGGATCCAGGGAATTCAGCCCCTACGGCGACATCAGGTCGATTAAGATTATGTACCCGCGCAACAGTGCGCAACAGGCCCGCGGCATGAGCACTGGCTTCGTGCAGTTTGCAAGACGGGAGCAGGCGCTGCGTGCGAGGAACGCGATGATCGACAAGGAGTATTTCGGCCTGCACCTTCGCATCGAGTTCGCGCGGCCCGTGGGCGGGCTGCAGTTCGGCAGCCAGCCGGCCGTCCACGCCATGCACGCGCCAGACAATGCGGCCAGTGCCACAGAGAGCCCCGGGGATGCCAACATCCAGAGCAAGAAGAGGTCCAGGTTCGACATGGCGAAGACGTTCTGCATAGCTATCCCTGCGGACAGGATCGTGCGCAGGCGCATTGACACGGCGGCAGAATTCGTCGCCATCGAAGGTTGGGATTTCGAGCGGGCGCTAATGGACCGGGAGGGCGCCAACCCGTGCTTTGCGTTCATGTTGTGCGACCCGAGCAATCTGGAGGACCCGCTGCACCTCTACTACCGGTGGAAGGCGTTCTCGCTGCTCCAGGGGGACTCGATGGACCAGTGGCGCATGGAACCGTTCCAGGTGTACGTGAATGGGCCGTTGTGGCAGCCCCCCCTCTGTGACCGCAGGGAGGAGGCACCGTCGGTCCCGGGCCCAGTGCCGCGCCTGGAGCTCTCCGGCATTGGCGGGCTCCGGCCGACGGGCGCCGGCGGCGGAGCGGGCTCCGCAGAGCTTCCGGCGGCGGAGGCGGCCAAGTTGGACGGCCTGCTCCGAGAGTGCAGCTCGTGGAGCCGAGCGGGCGTCTCGGAGAGGAAACGAAAGCAGGAACCATGCGTGCTCGGAGGTCCGCACGGATTGCTCGGATCGGTGCTTGTCAGGAGAGGAAAAAACACACAGACACAATTAATCGTCGATTTCCAGGAAAATATGGGAAAATATGGGGAGTGGGGGGGAGGACAAAAACGAGGAAAATATGGGAAAATATGGGGAAAACAATTATTTGTGTGTATTTATTTGTGTGTCCTAGGGCCCCTTCAGCTTGCACCCCCCCTTGGCGGCGTGTCTGGCGCTGCCCGTGGCGCGCACCGCGCTCCAGGAAGGGGGGCCCCAGCGCCGATCCAGGAAGTCTGCGCAGGCCTTGGGCAGTGGATGGTTGTGTATCTGTTCCTCGTCTAGGCATCCTCGAGGCGATGGTCTTCTGCCTCGACCACGCCTCCTCGTCCCAGGCCATCGCCCAGCGGATCTGCGAGCGGCTGCGGGACCCGCAGGCCGCCGAGGCGGCCGTGATCGGGCACCTGTATTTGGTCAGCGACGTGCTCTTCAACTCGCGCTGCTCGAGGCCCGGCGCCACCGCCTACCGCCGGCAGTTCCAGGAGGGCCTCCCGGCGGTCGTGGCGCGCCTGCGGGAGATGTGCGACGGCATTCAGGAGGGAAAAAAACACACAGACACAATTAATCCTCGATTTCCCAGAGAATATGGGAAAATATGGGGAGTGGGGGGGAAGACAGAAACCCAGAAAATATGGGAAAATATGGGGAATCTTTGTATTTGTGTGTATTTATTTGTGTGTCCCGGGGCCCCTTCAGGCATGTCCGTCCTCGGGGCCGCGGCCTTCCGGGAGCGCACGGCGCGCCTGCTGGACGTGTGGGCCGAGTGGTCGAGCTTCCCGCGGCAGTTCACCCAGGGCCTGCAGGCGACCCTCTGCCAGCAGACTGCGGAGGCGGTCCTCACCGCCTACCAAACCACCCCAACCCAACCCGAAGGCCTCAATTTGCCCTTCATTTCCAGTGGGAGGGGGGGGTCGGGGAACGTTGAAAAAACACATGGTATCCGTACCCCCCCCCAACCCGAAATTCGGGTCAAATTCGGGTCTTCGGGTTGGGTTGGGGTGGTCTGGTAGGTAGTCAGGTCCTGGTGCAGCTCCACAAGAAGTGGGAGCACCTCCTCGCCGACCAGGCGCTGCTCGAGCGCGAGTGCCGCGTGCGGGGCCTCCTGGCGCAGGGATTGCCGAGCAAGCTGCTGGACCAGCTCTGCCGCTACGAGGCCTACTGGGGCGAGAAGCTGCTCGCCAGGGAGGAGGAGGAGAGCGAGAGGCAGAGACTCGCGGAGGAGGTCGAGTGGGCTCGCCTGGTCGACCCCGAGCTGGACGGAGAGGCCCTGGAGGAGGCCGACCTGGAGGCCCCGGCGACGCCAACCGTGCAGCCAGACCCCTCGATGCACGCCTCCGTGCGTGCGACGCGTGCTGGCCCACGCACGACAGCGTGCATGCCCTGAGATCCGACGTCGTGGAAGAGCTGCAGCAACGCGAAACAGTTCACGACTGGAGCCCCAGACCCCATCTTTCTTCAGCGCTTCTCGAGCCAGATCCATCTGCGAGGGTCACGGGGCCGGCAGCCGGGCGAGAACGCGAGGTGTGAAGCAGTTGCACCGTCCAGATCTCGGGGTGGAGCTGGCTTGGCACACGGCTGCTTAGCTCCCTGATACGCCCGTGGTGGCACGCCAAACGTGCCGTGCTGAAAACGTTCTCGACAGCACGCTGCGTGTTGGCTCAGCGTGTCGGCCCACGGTTCGGCGCACGTGCGGCGCCAGGCCCACGTTTTCAGTGTACTTGTCCAGCTCCGTGTCGACACGCTGCGTGGTGCGTGCTTCGTACAGTCGGGGCGCTGAAGAAGGAACCCTTTTCGTTGGGGAGGGGCTCGATGCTCCTTAAGTGTTTCACAGCTTGCCTCAGGTTTTCCTTAGGTTTTCGATCGGAAATCGAAGTTGAACTTATGGAAAAAATGGGCCTCGTTCCTTATTTAGGGTTCCTTAGGTCAACGCCCCGACTGTACCACGGGCAAGCCACGCTTGGCGTCGTTCAAGAGGTGGCCGACGTGGAGGACGAGGGCAGCCCGTCCGAGCGCCAGCGCATCTTCGCTGGCGCCACGTGGGCGCATGCGCTCCGGCGCCCGGTGGCCCCCGGGGCCCTGGCCGCACAGGCCCCGAGGCGAGGCGGTGGATTAGAATGTCGGGGGCGGAAAAGAGGGGGGTGATGACTACGGGGGGGTGGATATCATGGCGGGGGCCATGATATTTCCCCAGATTTCATGGCGCCTCTCCTTGTTTCATTACCTCCCTGGCCCCCCCGCTGGGCCGCGCAAATGCCGCCGGTCATGATTTGCACCCCCCCCTCTTGGACACCCCCCTCTTGACCGCTCCCGAGAAAGGGGGACGTCGTCGTTGTCGCCGTCGTCCTCCTCCTCCTCGTCGTCGCCCTCGCCCTCGCCCTCGTCCTCGCCCTCGTCCTCGCCCTCGTCCTCGTCCTCGTCGTCGTCGTCGCCCTCGTCCTCGCCCTCGCCCTCGCCCTCGTCCTCGTCCTCGTCCTCGTCGTCGTCGTCGTCGTCGTCGTCGTCGTCGTCGTCGTCGTGCTCGGCACGGGGAGGGCGGGCGTCCGAGGGGGCAAAGGGCCGCCTCGGAGGCCTCGGAGCAGAGGAGGGCGAGCTGAGGCCACGGCGGCTGGACTCCAGGGGCCCCCCTCGGCACTGCGGAGGGCCGCCTCGGAGGCCTCGGAGCAGAGGAGGGCGAGCTGAGGCCACGGCGGTTGGACTCCAGGGGCCCCCCTCGGCACTGCGGATGGCCGCCTCGGAGGCCTCGGAGCAGAGGAGGGCGAGCTGAGGCCACGGCGGTTGGACTCCAGGGGCCCCCCTCGGCACTGCGGATGGCCGCCTCGGAGGCCTCGGAGCAGAGGAGGGCGAGCTGAGGCCACGGCGGTTGGACTCCAGGGGCCCCCCTCGGCACTGCGGATGGCCGCCTCGGAGGCCTCGGAGCAGAGGAGGGCGAGCTGAGGCCACGCCTCGGAGCAGAGGATGGCCGGCGGAGGCTGAGGCCACGGCGGTTGGACTCCAGGGGCCCCCCTCGGCACTGCGGATGGCCGCCTCGGAGGCCTCGGAGCAGAGGAGGGCGAGCTGAGGCCACGGCGGTTGGACTCAGGGGCCCCCCTCGGCACTGCGGATGGCCGCCTCGGAGGCCTCGGAGCAGAGGAGGGCGAGCTGAGGCCACGGCGGTTGGACTCCAGGGGCCCCCCTCGGCACTGCGGATGGCCGCCTCGGAGGCCTCGGAGCAGAGGAGGGCGAGCTGAGGCCACGGCAGCTGAACTCCAGGGCCCCCCTCGGCACTGCGGATGGCCGCCTCGGAGGCCTCGGAGCAGAGGAGGGCGAGCTGAGGCCACGGCGGTTGGACTCCAGGGGCCCCCCTCGGCACTGCGGATGGCCGCCTCGTAGGCCTCGGAGCAGAGGAGGGCGAGCTGAGGCCACGGCGGTTGGACTCCAGGGCCCCCCTCGGCACTGCGGATGGCCGCCTCGGAGGCCTCGGAGCAGAGGAGGGCGAGCTGAGGCCACGGCGGTTGGACTTCAGGGGCCCCCCTCGGCACTGCGGATGGCCGCCTCGGAGGCCTCGGAGCAGAGGAGGGCGAGCTGAGGCCACGGCAGCTGAACTCCAGGGGCCCCCCTCGGCACTGCGGATGGCCGCCTCGGAGGCCTCGGAGCAGAGGAGGGCGAGCTGAGGCCACGGCGGTTGGACTCCAGGGGCCCCCCTCGGCACTGCGGATGGCCGCCTCGGAGGCCTCGGAGCAGAGGAGGGCGAGCTGAGGCCACGGCGGTTGGACTTCAGGGGCCCCCCTCGGCACTGCGGATGGCCGCCTCGGCCTCGGAGCAGAGGAGGGCGAGCTGAGGCCACGGCAACTCCAGGGGCCCCCCTCGGCACTGCGGATGGCCGCCTCGGAGGCCTCGGAGCAGAGGAGGGCGAGCTGAGGCCACGGCGGTTGGACTTCAGGGGCCCCCCTCGGCACTGCGGATGGCCGCCTCGGAGGCCTCGGAGCAGAGGAGGGCGAGCTGAGGCCACGGCGGTTGGACTTCAGGGGCCCCCCTCGGCACTGCGGATGGGCGCAGGTCGGAACACTGCTGGGTTTTGGACCCCAGGAGGGGTCGGGAAAATCCGAGTTCGGGCTACAGCCGGGGCGCTGAAGAAGGAACCCTTTTCGTTTGGGAGGGGCTCAGTGTTCCTTAGTTGTTTCACAGTTTGCCTTCGGTTTTCCTGAGGCTTTCGATGGGGAATCCAAGCTTAACTTTTGGGATCAAGGGGCCTCGTTCCTTATTTAAGGTTCCTTAGGTCAACGCCCCGGCTGTACCGTGATCTCGATTCGCCCCGCTCCGATCTAGGGAGGCCTCTCTGGAAGAGGCAGGGCGCGCCTCCCCGGGGCGCTTCGGGCAGCTGAGCCGCTGCAGCACAGCCCCCGCGCTGAGTGGCGCAGTAGCGTGCCGAAAGGGCGGCAGGGGTCGGAGCGTGGAATTAACGCGCCACCCCTCGTGCTAAACCTATCGTGCTAAAACCTATCGTGCGGTTATTTCGGCCCCTCGGAATATCGAATAAAAATGCGGTGCTAAGATATCGCCGGGGGGGTTCTTAAATGCTTCCTGGGGTTACCTACCCCGCTTTCGCTTCCAGGCAAAACCACGTCATACCACGCGCCTCCTCGTCAGGCGGCCTGACCAGTGCAGGCCGCAGTTTGGCATCGCTTGGTATCTCTTGGAAGCGAGGGTGGTCAAAGGCGAGGTAGGTTTGTTTGCCCCCTAAGGGGGGGAGCTGCGCCCTGGTCCCATCTGCCTCTGTGTAGGAGCTCCCCGTGTGGTGCACGCATTTGTCGGGCCTCTTCCTCCTTCCTCCTTCCTCCTCCGTGGCTCTTCCTCCTCCTCCTCCTCCTCCCCCCCCTCCTCCTCCCCCTCCTCCTCCGCCTCCTCCTCCTTTCTCCTCCTCCTCCTCCTTTCTCCTCCTTTCTCCTCCGCTGCCGCTCTCTGCTTCTCCACTTGTCTATCGCGCCTCCCGCCCCGCACGGCCTGCCGGTGGCGACCCGCGCGCTTGCGCTCGCTGGCGCTGCCGAAAAGACGTGCCGTGGGGCGCGCGAGCTCGACCTCCACCTTCCGCACCTTCGCGGCGGCAGTTGCCGCGCAGCGGCGGCGGCCGCCGTCGAGGCCGCAGCGGCGGTCTCGGCGGTCGCCGCGGCCGCGCCGCGGCGGCACCGCCTGCGCGGAAGGCTGGGAAGCTGGAGGCCGAGGGCAGCAGGCACTTCATCCTCCGAGGTCCGCCCCACTCGCCCTGTACCCGTGTAGTATCGTTCACCACCTACCAAACCACCCCAACCCAACCCGAAGGCCTCAATTTGCCCTCCATTTCCAGTGGGGGGGGGTCGGGGAACGTTGAAAAAACACCCCCCCCAACCCGAAATTCGGGTCAAATTCGGGTCTTCGGGTTGGGTTGGGGTGGTCTGGTAGGTAGTCAATCGTGTCCATACCGCCATCTAGCGGCGTACCCGTTCAGAGGACGTCGTTTCAGGTGGTTGCCGAATTCGCCGAGCTCGTCATCACCACCACTGGGCCTAACCCCTCGCCCATCAGGGGTGGGCTGCGCCCTGGGGCCTACCCCCTCGCCCTGCTGGGGTGGCGAAGATGATCCAGTCGGAGGTGTTGCCGTGCACAGCGCACGCGACCTTGGGCCTAACCCTGCGCTGGTCCTTGGGGAGCTGCGCGTACACCGCGGGCGCTCCCATCGCTTGCACGGTGTCCCAGCGCGCTCGCAGGGCTGCCAGGTTCTCCTCGTTCTTGTCGGTGGCGTGTCTTCGATCTCGTCCTCGAGGTCCTCCTCGAAGACGCGCCACGGGCTTCGGATTGTCGGTGGGATTCGGCTTCTCTCCCATTCGCCGTGAATGCAGAACCGTAGCTGATGACGTGCGACTGGCCATTCTTCTCGCGTGTGCACGCGAGGGCGGGTAGCGCCACTGGAGTAGTATCCGCTGCCACTGCCCGCGTCCCCGCTGCCACTGCCCACCTTCTGAGTGCTGCCACTGTCCGCCTGCTTTTGACCTTTACTGCCACTGCCCGCCGACTCTTGACAGCCGCTGCCACTGCCGTCACTTCCACTCGCGCCCTGCAGCCACTGCCCGCCTTTTTGATGCTGGATGTGGCTCTCCACCAAGTCCTCGTCCTCTCCGTCTGGGTCCTCGTTCAAGCGGCCCTGTAGCTGATGACGGCTGGGTTCCGATACGCCGTGGGCGCCATCGCCGTAACATGAAGTCGGGCGTCTCCCTCTACAGGGGGAATATTCAAAAATAGTATAAAAAATAGTCTGGGGACGATGGTTTGGCCATTTTTAACTATTTGTTGTGTTTGGAATATGTTTTACTTTCCGTCCAAAATCCCTTTGTAGGGGGACATGCCCGACCTAACCGTAACCTCGCTGCCACTGTCCGCATCCCTGCTGCCACTGCTCGCCTTCCGGGTGCTGCCACTGCCTGCAGATTCTTGACCACTAGTGCCATTTTCCGCCAAATCTTGACCGCCGCTGCCACTGCCATTATCTCCGCCCGCGCCTCGTTGCCACTGCCCGCATTCTGGGTACTGATACTGGCTCTTCGTGACCTCATCCACTGACTTTGCGGCACGTACGCTCGCAGCCGCTGCTCGCCTTTTTCTGCGTGTTGCTTGTGGAAGTGTGGCTGATGACGTTCGGGCTCAGCGCGGTCACACCCGTCTAGCACGGCTGCCCCAGAGCTCCTTGTAATTTCTCTCTTTGCTGGCGCAGGCTGTTGAGCCAAAATGTTGTGTTTGAGCCAAGCTGTTGTTTGAGCCGCGCCATTGTGTCTTGATTCTTGACCGCTGCTGCCATTGCCGTCGCTTCCGCCAGCTGCCTGGGGCCACGCACCTCCTTTCTCGCAGGGGTCGTTCGCTTCGGCGCTGTAGCTGATGACGTCTGGCGTCCAGCGCTGTCCCCAAAAAGGCTCGTGATGCGCTCGTTGCCACCACTGGTGCCACTCTCGCAATTGGCGCTGCAGCTCGGACATGTGTTGACGTTTAGACTGCAGTTGATGGCTCGTTGCTCGCTGTGCCGCCACCTGGCGCGCTTTCCGCGCGAGGCGACCTTGAGCAGGAGCTGTACAGGTTCGTCTTTTATGGTGTA